GCTTCTTGGCAAGATTTGGGGAAGTGGTTTGGCCCTTGCCTGCTTTTGGGGGGCTGAGAGAGAGGGACTGGCCCAAGGACAGCCAATTGGCTTCATCCCTAAGGCAGGACCAGAACTCGCAGCCTCCTGTTTTCTTTTGACCACCACACCAAACTGACACTGCTGGATTATAGCAATAGCACTTAGACTTATATACTGCTTCACGGTGCTTTACAGCCCCTCTCAAAGCGGTTTACAGAGTCAGCTTATTGCCCTGCAAAAATCTGGGTCCTCATTTTATCGACCTGGGAAGGACGGAAGGCTGAGTCCACCTTGAGCCGGTCAGGATCGAACTGCCAAACGGCTGGCAGTCGGCAGTCAGCAGAAGTAGCCTGCAGTACTGCATTCTAACCACTGCGCCACCACGGTTCTTTTTAATACAAGTTAAAATACGGGGTTTAATACAAATTATTGTTCTGGGACTGCCAGTGGGTCTTGACTAATTTGGGGAGAGGCCTTTCTCAACTTAGTTGGGTCCGATGGATTTATTTTCACGCAACTCTGATGTTTAGCCAGCTTGATTTCCCCCCCCTCTGGCTATTGGCCTTTGAACAAGCAAGGATCTACCTGAATCAGCTGGCTTGCCTGGGTTTGGCTGTACATCTATAATGCATTCGTCGTCATCTTCTTCCTCCGTGTCTGCCTGAAATCCATCCATCTCTGCGATTTCGGTCTTGAACAAAAAAGAGGCGTGTCAAACTTGGGTGTCAGCCCTCCCGACTGGTTCAGTTAGAAAAGCAAAGACTCTCGAATCCATGGTTAACAAAGGGACACATCACTAAAACCAAGTGGTTAGGCTGAAGCTAAGCCGGATCGGAGTTTTTCGCGCCCAAAGTAGGTTGTAAAAATTGGGTCGGTTCCGATGGCGGCTGTCGTGACTTACAGCCGTATTGGCCGGGCTCAATTCTGGTCGTAACTTGAGAACTGTCTGTAACTCACTTCACAAGGCTCATGGGTGAAATGAATAAAACCGTGAGCCAAGAGGGAAGACTCGTGGAGAAAACTCTTCACGGGTTTTTCTTATAAGAGAAGTGGGTTTGTTTAATGACTGTCACAATAAAATGAAAATAATTAGATAGATAGATGATAGATGATAGATAGATAGATAGATAGATAGATAGATAGATAGATAGATAGATAGAGAAAGAGAGAAAGAGAAAGAGAAAGAGAAAGAGAGAGAGAAAAAATATAGAAAGAGATATAGATGATTGAAGAGAGATAGATGAATAATAGATAAAATATAGAAAGATAAAGAGATAAAGATATAGATAGATGAATAAGAGATTGATAGATAGATAGATAGATAGATAGATAGATAGATAGATAGATAGATAGATAGATAGATAGATAGATGGCAGAACACAAATAGAAGACCCACAGAGATAGATAGATGATAGACAGATGACAGAAGAGAGATAGAAGACAGACAGAGCGATGATGATAGATAGATAGATAGATAGATAGATAGATAGATAGATAGATAGATAGATAGATAGATAGATAGATAGATAGATAGATAGATAG